TCATATTACAGGAAATAATACTTACCAGTCATGTATTGGACATCAGGTGAATAAAAAGAATAACAAATAATTCTAAAAACAAACAAAAAAATCCAAAGATAATAAAAATGACCCATTTTGGAAATAGTAAAGGAATCTAAACAAGAGTTCTCAAAAGAAAAAAAAGAAGCTAAAAATGCATCAAAATGTGTTCATCACCCTCAGCTGTTAGGAAATGCATAATAAAATAACCTTGCATTTTCAACCTAGTCAGAATTGATAAGGTCATCGAAACAAGTGAAAATAACTTTTGAAGAGGTTGTGGATAAAGAGAAACCCTTATTATCTGTTGTTGGGATTGTCAACTGGTACACTGTAATGAGTTTTTCTGTGTCCCACCAGCCAGCTTCCAAATAATGACCCAGAGCTATATTATTGTTAGTTATGAAAACTTGACCTTTAGCTTAGGCTTATCTCAACTAGCTCTTATACCTTAAATTAAACTATATTTTAAAATTCACGTTCTGCACATGGTCTTAATGTTTTTTCATATCTCACCTCCTATTTCCTCTCTATGTCTGGTTGGAGACTAAACCTTTCTTTTTCCCAAATTACACTCTATCTCCGAAAGACCTGGATAACTTCTTGACTAGCTAATGGCAATTCAGCACTGCATTAATTCAATCAAAAGGCACCTTAGCAAGAATACATCTTTAAAGTATAAAACATACTTGCAGCAGTGCAGGTTTTCTGGAAATCACTGTGGCAAATGTCAAAAAGCTAGTCTAACAATCACTTACGATACTACATTCTAAATCTTATCTGCTCAGAAAAAGTGTAGTTACCAACCTTTATTAAAGAGACCTCTCTTTAAAGTAAATGGAGACCATCTTAAAATACTTCAACTGGCACAATTTAGGGATCAATGTCTGTGGGATTGCAGCCCCAACAGATTCATATACATCACAGCTTCTGTATCTTTGACTAAGGAAACATGCTAGAAGAGGCGATAGAAGAACTGTAAGAGTCAGACCAATAAGAATTCTACACAGTGAAAAATTCCTAGAAATGGCTGCATAAACAAAACCATAAGTATAGAAAGATAAAATATAAATTGAAAGAGGAGGATTTCAAAGGATTCCACCTCTAGACAAGGACCTCAGGCAACTGAAAAGGAATAGGATTTCTCTGAATTCTGGACCTGAAAGGTTCAATTTTTCCCCTTCTTATTTTTTTTCTGTTTCTCTTAGGTGTTGTCTTGAGGCAAGGTTTGCTTTTTCTGATTTTTAAAATTTTTCATATTATTTGTCAATCATCTTATGTAATGTGGTGATTGCTGCCATGTAAATGAACTCTAAGCCTGTTTAACTCCTTTTCTCCTCTTAATAACAGCTCTTGACATTTGTGTCTTGTATGTCCTAGATATTTTCTATACTATAATAAAAATTTCCTATCTAAAAGTAAGACAAACAAAACTATTCCAAAACTTCAGACTTCCAACTAAAGACCACTTATGTTATAAACAGGCAAAGAGGAATATGTACACATGAAAAACATAAGGCTCCTACCAAAATTAAACAGATACATATATATATATATATATATGTGTGTGTGTGTGTGTGTGTGTGTGTGTGTGTGCGCGCGCGCGTGTGTGTGTATGCATCTACTGTGTACACTAAGAATATATGTGCACATATACATATAAATACAAATATGGGATATATATTGATATAGATATGAGGCATTAAAGTCCCATATTGTTTTGCTTAGTGTCTCCCCAATATAACTTTTAAATTCTTTATAAAAAAATCACAGATGGCTCCTTATTTATTTGATTTATTTGAAATTAGTGAAATGTATATTATAAATCTGAAGTCAGAAATGGTCATTTGTTTTTATACAATTTGAGTCTTTTGAAAATACTCTCAAATGTGGTGTAAGGTTTGGCACAGTTCTTGTACACTGGAGTTTTATTAATACCATTAATGAATCGATGGTAGACAATCAACATCCATTCATTTTTAAATGTTACAGTAGTATCTAGACATCGATAATTAGTTTAACTAAATGTAAATTTACTTATTATAGAATTATTAAATATTACTTTGGGGTATTGTTTTGTTAGGAATACATATGCCTATGAATATATGCAACAAAAATTTATGAAAAAAGGTCATGAACTTGTAAGGAGACCAAGAAGAGATATATGAAAGAGTTTTGAAGAAATAGAAGGTGGAATAATATAATTTTATCATAAACTCAATAAATTGAAGACAAATAAATATTTGTACTAATTTCTTATGGTTTACTCTGGGGAAAAACTTCCCATAACTGAGCTGTTATTAGTTTCTACATTCGAAAGGAAACATAGTCATTGGGTGTGTATGTGTAAAATCACCAATACCTCCTGGCATAATGTTTTCTTTCTGATATGTTGGATTGAACTGTAAAGTTTTTGTTCATCATTTCTACCTTGCATGTGTTTATTCTGTTGTGATCAAGCATCATGAATTAAGGCAGCAAGGAGAAGAAAGGGTTTATTTCAGTTTACAAATCTCAGGTCATACTCAAGGCAGGAACCCACAGCAGAAAACTAGAAGTAGAAAGTGAAGCAGGCATGAGGGATACTGCTTACTGACTGGGTATTGATGGCTTGCTCGGAATAATGTCTTCTGCAACTCAGGACCACATGCCCAGGGTTGGCCCTACACACAATAGGCAGAAACCTCCTACATTGATAATTAATCAACAAAACTTCCAATCTATTTGCATATAATCTTATGGACGTATTCTGAACTGTGTGTCCCTCTTCTCAAATGACTGCAGCTTGTGTCAAGTTGACATAAAACTAACCAGCAAAATTTCCTGTCACCAATCTCTACATTGGGCATGAGAAATTCTCACATAAGTAAAACAGTGCCTGGGTACACCGAAGTGCTTTTCTAAATAATAAAGCAAAAGGAGAACAACAATGAAAAGAACATAAATTGTGCAATTTATGTTTGTCCAGTTAGTTGGGATAGGCATTCATAAAATATTGGTACAGTATATAGGTATTATTAGTATGATGTAGTTTGAAAGCAAAAAGATACATAACCATAAGTGCTTGAAAGGATTAAAAAATGTGCTACATAGAGAGATATAATGTCATAAGGTGTGTCACTTTTCTGTAAGGGTATTGGAGTTGCTTGGATAAGAATATATACAATCAAGCTAATGACATAAAAGTAATCACACAGCACTTTAAAGAATAGTTTGTTTACATAAATAAAAGTATTTTCTTATAGCCGAACATTTTTGGGGATAGCTTGAAGACAAGTGGCTGCAGAAGTTCTAAATCACGCCTTGGCTACACATGACTCAAATTTCCTTAGAAACTAACATGGATCAGATTGAATTGTAGGAAAGTATTCAGTAAAATTAATTTTAGAGAGAACTTCTGCCTTCAACTGACAAAAATCGTATTGAGGTTTAATTAAGAGCATGCCGAGGTTTCGTGGTTTAACATAAAAAGTACTACAATTGATTTCGTTTGTCTAAATTTCTCTTTAACATAGAGGGAGTTTGTCATCCACAATCATGCTGTGATGGAACCACATTTAATTTGCTGGAAGAAAATAAATGGAATGAATGCATTTGGCATTCTGCAGAGTAAAGTGCATAAAAATGCAATGAAAATCTATAGCTAAACTGTATAATAAGGCACCACAAGAAACGAATGCATATAAATTAGCTGTTATAAATGTTTGTCAATTTTATACCATAATTATTTCAACTAGCATGTTTTTATTTAGTTCATAATGTCAAAAGACCCAAGGTGACAGCTGTAATAGGACATGGATTTATATATTAGGAGAAAGAAGGTAGAGTTAAAACTCCCCTAACAATTCTTGTACTATTAATTAATTCTCTCATCTTTAGAATCTCGTTGTTTAAGTTTTGAAAGCTTACACACACACAATCAGATCTCTAAGTAGAAATGTGGGATATGAAAGCTGAATACTTGTATTCAAGTAAATCTTGAAATAAAATAATAGATATTAACTTTAACATTGTAGATCATACAAAAGATTATGTTTTAATGATTCTGAAAAACCACTGAACGAGCATATGATCAAACCGGACTCTCTGAATGTGGCTGCCAATGGAGGCTGACTGAGAAGCCATCAATAATACCACTGGGACCTGTTTCTACTGCTTGTGCTGGCTTTTTGGGACCCTAGTCTACTTGGATGCCCACCTTCCTAGGCCTGGATGGAGCAGGGGAGGGCCTTGGACTTCCCACAGGGCGTAGGCAGGGTGAGGGAGGAGGGTGAGGGAGGGAACTGGAGGGGAATGGGAGGAGGGGAGGAAGTGTAAATTTTTTTGTTTTGTTTTTATTTTTTTATTAATTTATAAAAATTTCCACTTCCTCCCCTTCTCCCAATATCCTCCCACTCCTCCCACTCCCTTTCCTCCTCCCTCTCCAGTCCTAAGAGCAGTCAGGGTTTCCTGCCATTTGGGAAAAGACTTGATTCTAGAGGAGTTTCCAGGTCCAAGGAGAGGTCCCCAGATTGTTCCTTGGGCAGCAGAGGAGAGGATGCCTGAACTGGCCTTGGCCCATAACCATACTGATAAATATTTTGCATATCACCATAGAACCTTCATCTGGCGATGGATGGAGATAGAGACCCACATTGGAACACTGGAAGTGTAAATTTTTGAATGGAAAAATAAATAAAAAAAAAACCCTAACTGATAGATTTGATTGTACCAGAAATTAACATGATATTTCTGAAAAGATCATTGTGCCATCCTGATGACAGAAACTTAGTACAATTTTGGAAGTGTTTAACTTCTTGTCCAGTAAAAACAAAAAAAATGAAATTTCAAATGTATCTCCCAAATTCATTCCTTTACATGTTATATTTAGTAACTTTTATTTAAGAGATAGTAAGAAATGTGAAAAGCATAACGTATAATTTTCACATGTACAATCTTCTAAATGTTATTGACAACATAAAAAATGTTCTAAAGTTGACACATTTTGTAAAAGCCCACTTATTAGGCCCAGTTTCCCCATCTCTCTGGTTGAGGATGAGCACTCCTAGGTCACTGTCCAAAACCAAGTCTGTTTGCTTCCTTCTTCAGTGATGACAGACAAATCATCTGAAACTGTAGCGCGCCCTCCAATCAAATGCTTCCTTTGATAAGAGTTGCCTTAGTCGTGATGTCCTCACACAGAAAAAGAGCATTAACTCGGAGAGAAGTTTTCACCCACACTTGTCATTTATTCGTTTACTTTTATGTTGTTGTAGTCCTGCACATAAATTTCATTATGCTTTTAATGTTTATTTCCTGAATGTCTCCTGTTACTGAGCAAAAAGGTATATTTCCCTATTAAAGACTAACAATTTATTTAAAATGATTAAATTATTTTTAAGATCATAGATTTTTTCTTCTAAAAGACAATTCTAATCATAATACCCAATCTTTATAGACAGGCATAAACTACAGATTTTAGTTTCGAATATTTTCCAAAATTTATGCAATATTACAATTACAAATATAAAAATTATCAATATTTTTTTCCAGAAAATGGAACAAAATAATTTTATTCTACCTGACAATTTCATAAAAGTTATTTACTTCCCAAGAGCACAATATCTCGCTAAATATGCTCAGCAGATCATTTACCATCCTTCTATTTTTCCTAATTGGAAATGATAGTAAAACATTTATTGCCTTGTTGACCAGGTCCCAGTTAATGGACCATAAATATTAAGCAGTGTGGTTGGGGCTCATTGGCTCAGAAAGTTCTAGATTGGCTGATTAATTGATTAATATGCTCCAGCAGTTCTCATTATAATGAAGACTTTATCCAAGTTCAGATTTCACTAACTTTAAGAAATACATTTCTATATATCAGAAAAGCTATAATATGTTCTAGTTCTTTACCTTTAAATGTAGGCTGAAGAAAATAAAGACACTGGAAGAATAAAGTGAGGATGTCTAGTACTCAACAGTAAAGCACTTACCTTGTAAAGACTAGGCTCTCTTTTCATTCTCATTGTTGAAAACTAGAACAACAACAACAAACCTCAAGCAAAAATAACAAGTAAATTTAAAGCATGTATGTATATAATTGCATTTATGCTTTCAAAAATAAACTTGATAACAGTATATTTATGCTAGTATTATGAAGCCGAATATTGTTTTACTTTAAGAAATATGTTTCTAGATTTCATATAAATCAGGTAGAATAGAGTATTAATCAAGTCATCATTATAAAATTATTGGTTATAGCATATTTTACTTTGATTTTTGTAAACCATTAATGAATTAAAAAGTTATTAGTTCTCCTAAATAAACGACTGTACAATCTCGAGCACACACACACACATATACAATCCAAATGAATCTAAATATGCATTCACAGCTTTATTTCTAATTAAAGAACTGTAAATATTTTATTTCATCCATTTAAATACACATAAAAATATATAATATACCTTTTTGCACAATACTATGACTTTAATTAATGCCTCTCAATCTTACATTTTAAAAGAGTAAAATGGATAACTTTGTTATATGTAAACCTTTTATCATAATGCTAAAAGCATATATACTATACTAAGAAGCATTTAAGTTCACACTTTAGATGCATCAGTCATGTTGTTCAGAACTTATCTTTTGTTGCATTGTTTTGTTTTTTGGTTTGATTTTTAACGTTTTTATTGATTTTATTGAGCTATACATTTTTCTCTGCTACTCTCCCTTCCTCTCCCCTCCACTTCAACCCTCTCTTGTGGTCCTGGTGCTCCCAGTTAACTCAGGAAATCTTGTCTTTTTCTCCTTCCCATGTAGATTAGATCCATGTACATCTCTCTTAGGGTTCACATTACTGTCTAGGTTCTCTGGGATTGTGAATTGTAGGCTGGTTTTCTTAGCTTTATTTCTAAAAGCCACTTATGAATGAGTGCTTATGATTTTTGTCTTTATGGATCTGAGTTACCTCACTCAATCTGATGTTTTCTAGATCCATCCATTTGCCTTCAAATTTTAAGATGTCATTTTTTCTGCTGTGTATTACTCCATTGTGTAAATGTACCATATTTTCTTTATCTATACTTCAGTTGATAAGCATTTAGGTTGTTTCCAGGTTCTGGCTATGACAAACAATGCTGCTATTAACATAGTTGCACACATGTCTTTGTGGTATGATTGAGAATCCTTTGGGTATATACCCATGTAACAGGAGGAGTGGGCTGCTTGTCATTCTGACTGCCCGGCTAGCTTACACCTGAAGTAATCTCACAGAAACTGTATTAATTAAATTACTGCTTGGCCCATTAGCTCTAGCCTCTTATTGGCTAACTCTCACATCTTGATTTAACCCATTTTCTACTAATCTGTATATCACCACGAGGTCATGGCTTACCGGGAAAGTCTCTGACTCTGGCAGATCCATGGTGGTTCTCTGTCTCTGATTCTTCCTCCCAGAATTCAGTTCTGTTTTCTCTGCCTACCTAAGTTCTTTCCTAACAGGCCAAGCAGTTTTCTTCATTGATTAACTTATGAAAGCAACACATAAGCAGAAGTACCTCCTAAACTTCCTACACCTCTTACACTTCTTTTTGTTTAAACATAAAATATTGTTTAACTTTAACATAGTAAAAATACATATAACAAAACAGGTCTCAAGCAAAAATTACAGTTACAATATTTATATCTATTTTATCTTTTATCATAGCAAAGGAAAACTATAACTATCTATTTATTCTTTAACTCCATCAAAGACTCCAGAAGGATACATTATTACCTAAGCAAACAGGAAGTGTATCATAAACAACTTCCAAAACTCTAGAATTGACAGAGACCTCTCATTGCCTTGACATTTGCCCAAAGTTCTTCTGTATCATTGGGCATCCATCTTCAGCCTACAGGCCCATAGTATCCATAAGACTTTTTCATGAAGTAGGAAAATTCAAAGGCAGTTAAGTCACTTTCTTATGTATCCCGCAGAATATCTCGCAGGCTCTTTCATAAATCAGGAACCCTGAAGGATCATCTCACCTTTAGGCAAATTTAGCAGTCATCTCTCTGTGGGTTCTTTATGTCTAGTTTATGCATCAGTCCAGGCAAGAGCAGTTTCTTGCCCAAATGGTTAACCAACTCCAAAACGAGCCTCTTCTATGCCCATCTTTTTCTTGAAGTAGATTGGTGCTGCCAGAAGCAGATATGTCTCATTGTCATGAAAAGCCCTAAATTATTAAAACATTTAAATCTCATATTTTGTAGTCTTTGAAAGATATAATGAATGCCTATATAACTGAAATATATCTCAATATATCTACAAACTCTAACATAACATGACTACAAGCTTGACTATTATCAATGATAATACATTAACAACTTATATTTTCTAATTATACATTACATTTTTAAATGAACTACACAATCACAATAAATACTTTAATCAAGAGCATAAATATACATATAACAAGATCGACCTTAAATTTATATCAATAAAGAAAAATCCATTCCAATACAATTATTCAATCTATATCATTTCCCCCATTAAATGTAAAAGAACATTTATAAATGAAAAAGGGAAATGGTGTAGGAGTTCCTTCTGTTTGTGTGTTGTTTTAATTGGTTGAATAAAGAAACTGCCTTGGCCTTTTGATAGGGCAGAACTTAGGTGGAGAAGATAGAAATGAATTCTGGGAGAAAGAAAGCAAAGAGCGAGAGCCGCTGTGGAGACGCCAAGTCAGACATTTTGAATCTTTCTAGGTAAGTCACAACCTCGTGGTGAATACAGATTATTAGAAATGGGTTAAACCAAGATGTGAAAGTTAGCCAATAAGAAGCTAGAGATAATGGGCCAAGCAGTAATTTAACTAATAAAATTTTTGTGTCATTATTTCAAGTGTAAGCTAGCTGGGTGGCCAAAACAAAGAGCCCCACTCCCTGTAACATACCCAAAAGTGGTATTGCCGAGGAAACCAGATAATGGAAAGATCTCCCATGCTCTTGTGTAGGTAGAATTAATATAGTAAAAATGGCAATCTTACCAAAGAAATTGACAAATTCAATGCAATGCCCACCAAAATTCCAGCAAAATTCTTTACAGATCGCAAAAGAATAGTACTCAACTTCATATGGAAAGGCAAAAACCCAGGATAGCCAAAACAGTCCTGTACACATAAGGAACTTCTGGAGGAATCACAATTTCTGACTTCAAACTCTACTGAAAACAGTCTGGTATTGGCATAAAAACAGACAGGAGCAACAATGGAACCAAATCAAAGACACAGATATTAATACACACACCTGTTAAAACCTAATCTTTGACAAAGAAGGAAAAAGTATAAAATGGGAAAAAAATTAACAAAGGGTGCTGGTGTAACTGGATATCAGCATGTAGAAGAATGAAAATAGACCTATATCTATCAACATATCTGTGAACAAAATTCAAGAATCAAATACCTCAACATAAAGCCAATCACACTGAACCTCATGGAAGAGAAAGTGGAAAGTATACTCGAACACTCTGGCACAGGATATCACTTTTTAAATATAAGTACAGTTGCTCAGACACTGAGAGAGAAAATGATAAATGGGACCTCCTGAAACTGAGAAGCTTCTGTAAGGCAAAGAACACAGTCAACAAGACAAAACTGCAGCCTACAGAATGGGAAAAGATCTTTATCAAACCTCACATCAACCATCGGGCTGATCTCCAAAATATACAAAGAGTTCAAGAAATCATTCATCAAAAGAATAAATAATCCATTAAAAAATGGGGTACCAACCTAAACAGAGATCTCTCTACAAAAGAATCTAAAATAGTTGAAAGACTCTTAAGGAAATGTTCAACATCCTTAGCCATCAGGGAAATGCAAATCAAATAAGTCTGAGATTCCGTCTTACAACTGTAAGAATGGCCAAAATCAAAAACACTGATGACAGTTTATGCAGGAGAGGATATGGCGTTAAGGGAACACTACTGCAATGTGGTGGGAGTGCAAACTGGTACAGACACTTTGGATATCAGTATGACAATGTCTCAGAAAATAAACAAATATTTGCCCCTTTTAACCACACGGGCTCTATTGAACTGAAATATAAATACTTGCAATAAAAATATTTTTAAAAAGGAAGGGGACATTTTTAAATGCATAACAACTGGCTCATTCCATATTAAGTAGCATATGTGAAACAATTTCATGATAGAAAATCAATAAGTTTGCATTCCCTGGGGAAGATGCTTTTCCTACTCTCAGCATCCTTGGTTATTTATAATTCTTCCAGAAGGTCTGTGGCCTCCTAAGCGTTCTCCCTTCCTAGGTATCATATCTATTGCTTTTGTCCTTCTTTAGGTATAGGTAGTCATTTTGTTGAGACTTTATGCATTTAGTTTCACATTTCTAAGAGACAGAATATCACAGAAAGCTCCTTACAGTTCTAGTTTTTACATTCTTTCCACCCCCTTATCCAAAATAATCACTGAGCCTTAGTTAGAGAAGTTGTTTTGTCTGTGTATGCATTGGGTTTGGGCTCCATAGTTGTGGCTATTTTTACTTAGTCTCCAACTTTCTATCTCCTTCATCGTCTCTCTATTTCTGGGTTTTTGAGACAAGGTTTCTCTGTGTAACAGCTGTAGCTGTTTTGAAACTTATTTTTGTTTATCAGACTGGTCTCGAATACACAGAGATTCGCCTTTTTCTCTCTCCTAAGTACTATGATTAAAGGCATGAGCCACCGTGCCTGACAGGTTGTGGTTTTCTGTAATGGCCTCTGTCTGCTAATGGAGATAAGTTTCCTTGATGAAGAGTGAGTAGAAACACATAAATTCAGTCCCGAGGGATGCATATAATGAAAGGCAATAGCTGATCCCAGCAAACTGTCCTTTGACTTCTATGTACTCACTGAAGCACAAGAGCCAGAGCCTGCCAAAATAAATAAATAAATGCAATAACAAATAAAAGGGAACAATAATTTTATTATCTATAAATGGGATCTACTGTGGACTGAATTCACATCAAATGCACAAACTCAATTTTGCTTGTAAAAATGTGAGTGTATTATGATAGTACATATTTAACACATTATTGTTAAAAATTTTTCACAGAGGTAAAGAGTTGTTCTTAAATTTATGAAGTAGTATAATTCATAGAAACAAATAGTACCGAATTTTATAAATGTTTTTCATATTAATTGTCATTAAGATAACTCTATGTCCGTTTGGACTTTACAATCATTTCATATTTTCTAACCCTGAACTATACCTGCACTCTCTGTTAAATATTTCTACAGTGATATTCACTGCAACATTCAGTGACCATTAGCAACATATAGCTCTATAGTTTGTTTTATTTTTTAGGTTTCAGTTAATTTCTATTTCTACTTATTATAATAATAGTATTATACTTTCCTCTCGGGCCTGTGATCCAGAAAATGGTTTCTTTGCTTTCATTTTTTAAAACCTTATAATAGTACCAGGTATGAGTTCCATCTTTCATTTGAGCAAGTTTTAAATACATTCAGAGTTTGGTTGCTTAATTCCATAATATAAGTTCCAATACTCCAATGACAGGTCACATATTGCTATAGTTCACAAAGTGGAATGCTGGGTAATTCTTTTGACTCTTTTTCTGTCCTAACATGAAACATAGACCTTTAAAACACTATGAAAACTATGCAATATGGAAGAAACTTTCAGGTTGATATTACTTTGTTTTCTCCTATTACATGTTCATGTTTCTGTCTCTATTACTGTGATTAATAAAAGAAAATTAACAAAAACAAGTTGGGAAAAATGGCACAAGTTATAGTCCACCCTTGAGGGAAATAGAGGCAGGAACTAAATCAGGAACTTGAAGGCAGAAATTGAAGCAGAGACCATGGAGGACTATTACTTATTGTGGGGCTAGAGAGTCAAACATAATTGAGAAGACAAAGTTTTAGGGAGTGTGAGTCTGAGTGTTCACAGATGATTGATCATTGTGTGCAGAGGTTAGCAACCATGACTATTTCCTCCTGAATGTTTACATCTGGAGGCTGATCACCTACTGAAACCTCCTACCAAAACTAGCTAACCACTTATATACTATATTAAACGAATACTCAGAGGTTCAGTTTTGCAGTGGTTAGAAATCTTCACCCTTTCACAATCTCACTATATGTGTATCTGTATATTTGTCCTGCATTCCATAGTCCTCCATAGCAAGGGTTTCTGGACTCAAGCAATACAGGACACAGCAGCTCATGGCGTATTCTCATGGATTACTCAGTCCTTTTTTATACAACTGTAAGAGCTAAATGCCAAGGAATGGCATTTTCCCCCTGTGGGCTGAAGTCCTGTACCAAATCAATAATCAAGAATATCACTTGAACACATGGTCACAAGTAAATCTGAGGAGAAAATTCCTCAAATGAGGTTCCTTTTTCTCAAGTATATTAATCAAGCTGACAAGCAAGATTA